AACATCGTAAACATCCCAAAGAAGAAGAAGAACTACAAAATACCCAATTCTAATAATAATAATATTTACTTACTGAATTACTTTTTGTGTGTATAAGTGTGGGTGTATCGATTGATGTTCAAGATTCGATTTGATGTTCAATCAAGAGAGAAAACAATTTTTTTTTGTGTTTTTTATTATTCGTGTTCTGGCCATTACAAGATGAATTGAATCATCAGCATTATTGGTTGGTTGAATAAGGAAAACTAAATTTAACTGATTGTTAAGTTCATCATTAATACAGGTACCTGCTGCATGTATTATGTGTGTGTTTAAAATCACGTTTTAACGAAAAAAAAATCATTTAAAATCGATTCATTTTGAAGATTCAAACCGATTTTACAATCAAGAATTCAAGATTCTTTGAGATTTTCATATCTTAATCTCTGTGTCTCTCTCTGTGTGTGTGTGTATCAGGCAAAGATCAACCACCACCACCACCACCACGTCGACTAACACTTTCCACCTACAATATCAACATCAACCAATCTTAAACATCTTTTTGAAAACAACTTTTTTCTTCTTTTTTTGCTTTAAATATAATTGCTTTGATGAAAGAAAAAAACAGGATAAACGCGTTTTTTTACTCTTCGTCATCATCATTATCATATATTTTATATGGCAAACCAAAATTCATAATCAAAAAGAAACTTTCGGCTTTTTTCTTTAACAACAACAACAACAACAACAAAATTTGACTGTAAAATCATCATTGTTTTGGATATGAAAGAAGCCATGCTTGTCTTGCTTTGTTTTGATTTGATTCAGGAAAAACAACAACAACCAGCAACGATCACTATATTTAAATCCATTTGATCAAACACAAAAAGCATATATATCGAAAATAATAATATTCCAATGGTGATATTGTGACCTTCAGTTTTTTTTTTATTTTTATAATTTTTATTACTCGTTTGATGACTGCCTGCAAACACATGTTGTTTATATCCGAAATGCTGATGATGATAATAATAATAATTCAACCCAATGACGATTCTATATGAAACTTGATTATTTATTATTATCATCATCATTCATTCATTCATTGGATTCGATTTTTCTTTCTCTCACATATCACTCTCACTTCTTCTACCATCATCAAAGATCAGCAGCATAGAATATCATCATCATCATCATTGTCGGTCGATAAATGTTGTTGTTATTATTCGCTTTAATGATAATATCAACAACTAACATAAAAAACATTAGCAACCATCCAGCCAGACTTTGATATGTGCAGAAGATTTTTTTCTGGCTGATTCGATACCATTACCAAACAACCCATTTAATACACAAACACGATGTTTGATTGTTAATTTTTGATCTTTTTTTTTCATTTAATTCGAGACATTGTTGATTGGAAAAAAAAGAACACGCTGGTTGATTTTTCATTGCTTTCTCTTTTTCGCTTTCGTAGCATCGAATTACATTGAAAATTCTTTGAACAAATTTTTTTAAAAAAAGTCAAAAAAAACATTATCGATAATGTGTGCCATGATACGTAAAGAAGATAATCATCATCATCATCATCATCGTGATGATCAAAATCCAATATCATCGGGATCAATAATCAATAATCAACCACAACAACAACAACAACAACAATCATGTCATCAATCAAATGATCATCATCATAATACATTACGTAATCGTTTACAAAAAATTTTTATGCCAAATTCACCACCATTATTACCATTATTACCATCATCACCGCCAATTTTATCATCAACAATAATTATACCAAAAACAATTCCATATTTACCTGTACAGAATTTAAAAATGGCAATGAACAATTCATCAACAACAACATCATCATCATCGGCAACATCACCATCATTAATATCACCACGTTCAACAGCATTGAATCGTTTTATTAATGGTGGTGGTCAATCATCATCATCATCATCAACAACAGCATATACATCATCATCATCATCATCACCATCAACAAATCAAACATCAATCATTCGTGATCATCATCAAATAGCTGAAGATGAAATGATTTTTCCAATGTCGGATATAACTGAAGAAGATGAGGTATGATCAAAAATGGATATTACAGATTAGTTTGGCTTAAAATTAGATAAGATTTTTTTTTGTTTCAATTTCTTTTCTGGGTTTTTGTTTGTTTGTTTTGTAAGATTGTTTAAAGTTTCAATCACCAAAGATTTATTGATACTGTCCATCAGTAGAATTATTTGTTTATGTTTTGATCATCATCATTTGAATCGAGGAAAAACAAATCGATTGATTGATTTATATTTGTGATAAATATAGCCAAGGTTAAATTATTGGATTTCTATATTTATGGCAAACGTAAACACTTATTACTGAGTGTGTGTGTGTGTGTGTTTGTGTATGATGTTAATGACGTTAATTCATATTTTTGTCATTCTCTTTATATGATTAATTAATTCATTTCAGTTTGTTTATATGTTTATATCGAATTGATTAATCGAATCAAATTGATTGATTCGAATTCAAATTCAAATTCCGATCGATCGATCGATTGATATTGATATTGATATTCATTCATTATGCACAAAATCTCTTTATATTAGATTTATATTCGAGTGTCCAATGAACCTTTTTTCCCCTCTCGATAATGATAATTGATCAATTTGATTCAATTGCAATTGATCAACTTTAACAATCATCATTGACATACTCTTATCATTTCAAATCAAATCTAATTAATCTTTAAAACTTGTTTTTTTATAATGATGATGATGATGATTTTCTTAAAATAGCTTTTGATATAAATTCTATGAATGATTTTGTCTTGTTTTAAAGAAAACAAATTGAAAGGGAAAAGTTTTTCATCATTATTAACAAATACAAATACAAATTGGTTCCATTTCAATCAATCATTATAATTTATGCAAATGTTACCATTTGCACTTTCTGTTGCCATTGGTTTTTTTTCATTATCAATTCATTGAACGTGTCTTATGTTTGTTGATGATAATGATAATGATTATTGCTGTCACGAGTTGTTGTTGTTGTTTGATTTTTTATTTTTATTTTTAATTTTATTATCACATCTGTGTTGCTATGTTGTTATGATACATTCATCATATAATTATCATCAGCCGTTAAATCATTAAATTTTCTTTTAATTTCTTGGAAAATTGTTATTGAGAATTCTTCCTGATTTTTAGTTGTTTTTGTATTGGCGATTCTGTTTTCTTTGAAGGCCATCCATCCATTCATTGCATTGTGAAGAATCGCTAATCGAAAGAAATTATTAGTGTTTAGGAGAAAATTCTCATTAATGAGAAAGCACCTTGTTGTTTGTTTGTTTGTTATTCTTGTTTTTTTTTGCAAAACAACAACAACAATTATTATTATTATTCTCGATTCTTTGATGAATCGATTGTTTTCACTTTTCACTTCTTCAGTACGAAAGTCAACCGAATACAAACAACAACAAACAACTGATGAAGGCCACCAGTTATTGTCACACTTTTATTCCATTCATTCATCACAATTTTATGGTTTATCAAATTTCTTTCCTTCTTCTTTTCTTGTTTTTGTTTTTGGGTCATGCAATTCTTTCATTTATTCTAATAATAATAATATATAGCCAAGTGCTACTGTTTTGTTTGAATTTGTACTTATAAAAAAAACCTACAAGATTTTAATCAAAATGAAAAAAAAATATTAAAAAAGGTAACCGAAAATTCTATATAAATAAAAAAACTATAGTAATGATTAAAAAAAACTTGTTATTCTTGAATTTGTGTAGAATCCAATTGCGCAATCTCATTTCGAAATGAATTCTATTTATTCTTGCTTTCCATTCATTCATTCTATTTCTATTTCTACTTAATAACGGCGTTTTAAATGAATCATTTTTTTTCGGTACAAAAAAAATTTCATTTTCCAATTTTTATTTTTTGCAAATGTTTTCAACAACAACAACAACGGCAACAAATAAAGTTAACTTTTGATTTGAAACACAGAATGGATTTATTTCGTTTTCCAAATGAATGAGATAATCATTTGTTTGGTTTATTTTGTGTTTGGTGTGTGTGTTTTCTTTCTTTATTTTCATTTCGTTTATTCAAAAAACAAATTGTTCAAATTGTTGTTGTTGTTGTTGCTTTTTCGGAAGGATTCATCAATGTTGATGATGATGATGGTCTGATTATTTTACTAAATGATAATGATGGTTAATGTTGTTGTTGTTGCTGTTTTTTTTCGTTTGTTTGTTTACGAAATTTACGAAAATAAAATTTGTTTGTTTTTCAGCAACAGAAAAATAAAAGAAGAAGTTATTTCCAAGTTTTGTCAATTCAAATATCTACTCGGATGGTGGTAGTTTTTCAATGATTTCGTACTTTGGATATATCAAAAAAAAAAAAAAAAAAAAAAAACCCAATTTTAGGGTTTTTTTTTTGACGACGACGAANAAAAAAAAAGACACTAACATTGGATTGATTTTTTTTTTTTTTTTTTTTTTTTTTTTTTTTTTTTTTTTTTTGGATAAAAAAAAAAAAAAAAAAAAAAAAAAAAAAAAAAAAAAAAATCAATCCAATGTTAGTGTCTTTTTTTTGACGACGACGATAACGATAAGATAATGATGGATGTTTTTTTGTTTCTCTTGTGGTTTCGATGATGATAATGATGATGTTGATAGTAGTTTTTTGATGATAAAGATTTTTTGTTTCTAGTCAAACAATCAAACAATTCAGTCTACAATGATTTGTTTGATTGTCTTGTGTGTGTGTGTTTGTGTTTGGTGCAACTGACAGAACAACAACATCATCATCATTATTTATTGACGAAAATAATCCTAGCTTCCAATTACGTCGACAATCAGAAAATGAAAAATGAAAAATTTGATTTAAAAATTCTTCTTCAAATCCAATAATCGGCTCAGTTGAAATTTTCCAAGGAAATTTTCCCATCTTCTATCAATCGAATTGATTCGAATTTCTGGGAAATCTTTCGAATTTGATTCGATTCTGTGTGTTTTTATCTTGTTTGTTTTTTTTGTGTTGATTTTCCCAAGAAATTCTCTGAAAAATCAATTGTCAATTCAATCATCGTTCATCATCATCATTTAATTTCAATTGAATTCTTCAATTCTCAACAGCAGCAACCAAAAAAAAAAATACATTTTTTTCAAGGTTTTTAAATAAATAAAAAATTTCCATTGAAATTGATAACTACTATTATTATCATTTGATTATTTATCAGTCCTGTCTGATTGTTTGTTGTTGTTGTCATTTGTTTATCTTTTTGGGTTCCTCCTATTCTGTTGTCATTCTGTTTGATTGGAAGAATTTTCCTTCATCTATTAATGAAGAAATCAAGTTTTTTATTTTGATTTTGTTTTTCAAATTCTTTTTTGATTATCTGTTTTCTGTGTGTGTTTTTCAATGTCTGTTTTCTTGTTGTTGACATGTGTGTGTATGTGAATTTTCTGTTGTTGAAAACAAAGGTCTAGGCTATTCTGTTTTGTTTTGTTTGTTTGTTTGAAAATAGCGACAATAACATTATATTATATTTGATAAACATTGAAGATGTATTTTCATGTGTGCATACGTGACTTTTTCTTCGTATATTTTTTTCCACTGAATAGATATTTACCGCTATTTCTTTCCTTTTCAAGTGATATATTTCTATCATGTGTTCAAACTGAATTGAATCAAAACAGCGAAAAAAATCCTATAGGTTTCTATATAATTATCATCGCCATTATTTTTTTTCACCAATAACGATTGATAATGATAATGGTGATGATGAGAGCTATATACAAATTGGATGTTTACATTTGTTGGAGATATGTAGTATCATAATGTGTATGATATTTATGAATAGATTGGATTCGATATTTTTATTTTTCATAAATAAATTATTCGATTTGAATTTTATACGGATGTTTATAATCATCTTCTTTTTCTTTGTTTTTATTATTTGAATTTCATTCCTGTCTTTCCATGTTTGTTGTTTTTGATTGTTTTTTTTTGTTGAAAAACAAAACAAAACAAACGAGTTTTTTTCTTTTTGTTTGCTAAAAATAAAATGGATTCTATCTGTTGATGAAAACGAAAAACAAAACAAAAATGTTGAGATTCCGGTAGCCAATAGGAATTTCTATTCATTTTTCGCTTTTGCTTTTATCAAATCAGGTGGCCATCTAGCGTTTTATTCACGAAGTTTTTTTTTCGGTGAAAAACAGAATAATTAAAATTTTCTTTTGTTTTTTCTTTTTCATTTTACAGGAACATTATCAAAGTGATAATAATAACGGAATTGTAAATGAACAACAATCACAGCAACAACAACAACAACAACAAACGGATGATAAATATCAACGAAAACATCTTGATTCAATTGATTCGGCTATTGATGATCCATCAATAAATTCAACATCAACATCCGGTTCAAATAATAGCTCTGTAAACAACAACAACAACAGCAGTAATAATAATAATAATAATTCGACAAAAACAAAATCCAAACCAATTGGTATAATACCGAAAATATCTGTATTACCATTTTTACGTAAACAATCAAATTCTGATCATCATTCGGATGATGAAGATTGTTCATTAGATGATTCAAATCGTTTACCTGAAAGTATGTGTTTATATTTGGTTGTATTTTTTTAAAAATGATGATAACCCTTTTGGTTTTTTTAAAATAGCAACAACATCGATTGGTACATCTTCATCAACATCATCATCATCTTGGAGATCTGGTTCATCAACCGGTGCAAAAGAATCAACAACAACAACAACAACAACTGCTACTACAAAATCTAAAGCACAAGAATTTATTGGAAAAATGATGACAAAAGTAACATCATCAAGTGCACCAAAATCTGCATTCAAAGACAGTAATAATAATCATCATCAAATGCTCAATAATAATAAAATTCGTTGTACATCACCACCATCTACTAGCTCAAATAATCAAGATTGTGGTTATAATAATAATAATGATCATCATGTTTATCATACTGTTCATGGTCATCCACATAATGATAAATCTGGATCATCATCAATAAATTCATCTAATGTTGTTGCTGCCGTTCGTTTGCCTGTCAATTATTATGATGGATTATTTGAACAACCACAGCCAAAATCAACAACACCAACAAATAGCCGTACTCGATCACATTCGAATGGTTTTACACAACAGATTCGTCATTCGGCATTAATATCCGCTGGTTTAGGTGTTGGTGGACAAACAAACAATACAACAATGACATCGACATCAAATAAATCTAATAATGATAATAATCATTGTGGATCGACTCGACGTCAATCACATGATGCTACTATGTCATTACATCATCAACAACAACAACAACAGCATATTAATCCTTATACACAACATTCATCGATTAATGATGGTGAAAATTCTTTTTCTCCCACATCTTCTTCATCAACATCATCAACAGCAACAACAAACAATGCAGCATTGATTGTGACTGGGATTTTTTCCTCATCGAAATCCCATCGTTCATCTCTTAATAACAGCAACAACAACCAAAATAATAATAATTCATTTTTTGATTCGTTTAGGTAAGTTGTTGTTTGTTTTGTTTTGTTTTTTCTTTCTTCTTTTGGCTGTGTAAAAAAATAAAATAAAATAGTTATCTATTTGAATACCGATGATAAAAACGGAAAAAACCCCATTGACAACAACAACGATCAGAAAAAAACCGCATCGATCAATTCTATAGTCACACATTTAAAGATTTTTCAACAAAAACAACAACAACGAGATTCACTTGGTTGTGTTTTGTCGATTTTCGTTTCATTGAATAATTTTTTTTCTGTTTTTCTAAAACATTTCTTTTCTTTACATTCAACTGGTGTGATTGATGAAAAACATACCAATTTTGTTTTCAAATTGAAAAAAAACATTGAAATTTTTCCTAATTTTTTTTGAAATTTTTTTTGTTTTTTCAAATAAATAAAAATAGGCCACGTTCAAATACGGAAGGAAGTCGAAATAGCCGTGACAATCATAATGCAAACAACAACAACAATAATAATTCAAATTCGAACGTCAAGAAAACGTCAGTGATTGCTGTATTCAAGAACAATTTCCTCAATCGACATTCACCATCGACAACAGTCACATCCACATCAACAACAACAACAACAAATTCCGGTACAATAAATATTAATACAAATTTAGATAATACATTCGCATCGATTTCAACACCATTATCACCAACATCACCAACAACAGCAATAGATTCAACAACAATAACAAATGTTTATAATAATCAATTATCATCACAGCAACAAACAATTGTGGTCAATAATCAACCAACAAGAAATAATTGTCAAACAACATCTAGAATAATTGATCATCAACCATTAACATCATTATCAGCATCATCATCAGTACGACGACGATCATCAGCATATAGTCGTGATTCAGGCATTATATCGGCACCAATATCACCAAATTCTGTTATTGATCCATTTTCAGTTGATTATACATTATATAATGCTTGTGTACGTGCATCGGTTGTAAATGGTGGTGAACAATCATCATTGATTAATAATCAACATCATTGTTATTATTCAGATATTAATAATAATAGTGGTAAACATTCATCATTATCATCATCAGCGGCAACAGCAGCAGCAGCAGCAGCAGCATCAACAATAACAACAGCAGCAACAATTTCACCTGGTTCTTCATTAATCAATAGGCCACGATCACGTTCAAGTTCAGCATCAACAATGGCACGTGTTTTTGATATGTTTCGTGGTCGTTCCAATTCGATTGCAACTGAACAGCCACAAAATTCTCATATGAATAATAATAATAGTTATCGTATAAGACGTAATAATAGACCGGTAAGTGCAAAGAATTTTTTTTTCTAGGTTTTTATTTGAATTAGTGAAAAAAAAAATTTATGTGTGTGGGTGTTTATTGATTATTCCGGGTCATGGAACTTTTGGTTATTATGTGTTTTTTTTGTTTCAAGAATTTTCAATTCTGGAAAAAAAGCGTAGGCCCGATTCTTTGAAAATATTATGCTAGAATTTTTTTGTTTCCAATTTGGAGCCTCTACTTTACTTTTTTTCCCCTATATTTATCTCTGCACATGAGCTATGTATGGATATTTTGATGATGGAGTTGTATGGTTTGGTTATATATGTGTATCCAAATTGTTTGTTTTGTTTTTTTTTTTTAAATCTCAAGTTTCATATAGTTTGATTGTTCAAATGTTTGTTTGTTTGTTTGTGTGTGTATACAAGGTAACCAACAATGATAAGAATATCACACTTTTTTCTGAAGAAAATATTATTAAGAAATAAAACTATAATTTGAGAATGAATGTGATAACAACAACAACAAATCAAATTTTGTTTTGTTGAAAACTAAGATTGAAAATTTTTATAAGCTAATATAGCAGTAGTGGTGGTTGATGATATATATCCTCCTATATCATCATAATTTTATTATCCAAAAAATGATTTGATTTTATAATATATGATCATAATCACGTTCACCAACCAGAAATGAACACTGAATACCAAATGGCTTGAATAAAATCATTTTCTGGGACGTGAAATGTTTTTTCAAAACCAACAACAACAACATGCGCCTTCTTTTTCTTCTTCTTCTTTGAATTGAATGAAAGAATGAATCCGTTTGAATGAATATTAGATAACTATTATTATTTTCATTATTGTATTATATTGCTGTTGGTGTGATGATGATATCCATAAAAATTTTTTGCTTTCGATTCACATTCAATGCTAACCCAACAACAAACCCAAAGATACACTACCAGAAAAATAATATTGCCAACGAAAACTCCTGAATATCCTCATTGCTATAGTGTTTTTCTGAGTGTATTTTTTTTTTTTTTTTTTTGGTTTCAACGAATTGAAAGTTTATATTATCTCCATCTCTTTCTCTCATTTACTTTGTGTGTGTGTTTGAATTTATTTTATACAATTTAAAACATTTATATAGATGTTGTGTGTTTGTTTTTCGTAAAGATATTTGTGATGATGCTTAAAGTTTTTTTGTTTCTTTTTCTTTTCTTGATGTTTTTTTGATAGTGGTGGTGGTGGTTGTTATTAACGTTAACGTTATTCGGGTATCCATCTCTCTTTTTCTCTCATTTCATTTTATTTTTCTCCCCAAAACGAAGAAAATATATGTTAGCTTGTTTTGAATACAGTGAATACATACCAATAGATATTTGTGTTGACTGTGTTGTTGTTGTTGTTGTTGTTTTGTATATTTGTTTGAATCAAATTTTTGTTCGTTGTTGTGGTGGTGGTGGTGGTGGTGGTGGAGGATATGAATTACTCCCAAACATACATACATACTCCATACACCATACACACATAGAGAAAGATACAAGAGCAGTGGATATTTGATTATGGTGATGATGATGATGATGATGAAAAGAGAGAAAAGGAATAACATTATAATGAATGAATGTATGTTATGATGATGATGAACATTGAAAAAAAAACAGGCAATTTTTTGTTTCAATGAAGAAATACAATTCATAATAACAACAACAACAACAACAACAAAATTCATTTTCTTCCATTCTTTACATCGATTTTTTTGTTTTGTTTCCATATGAATCATTTTCCCTGAGAATTTATTCATTTGTTGTTGTTGTTGTTGTTGTTGATTTTGTCTTCCTTCTTGTTGACGATTATGATGATTGTTCATTCATTATATCAAAAAAAAAATTGAATTTAATTCAATCAATAAACTGAAATGAACGATGATAGACTGTTATTTTTTTTCTCGATTCATTTTGACTGAATGTTTGTTTGTTTGTTTGTTGATTCTTACTTCATGAATTTTTCAACAACAACAACAAAATTTCATCAACTAGTCAATCATCGCCCTTAAAAAATTCATAATCATTGTTTTTTTTGCTCTAATTCAGTGTGTTTGTGTGTGTGTTCAGTGTTGTTATTCCTGTATTATTATTTTTTTTTGTAAATGTTTGTTGATTGTGGTTTGAAATTGGTAAACAAAGAAGAAGAAAAAAAATGGCTTCAAATTCACCACCTGATATGATAGTATCATCTGAAATTGTTGATGATTGTAAAAAAATTGTTGATGATTTTTCAAATGAAGAAAAATGTATTGAAAATGTTGATGATGATGATGATGATGATGAAGAATGTGATGATTTTAATGATGATTTATTAGATCCATATGAAAGAAATTATCATACAATAACGGGTACAATAAATAATAATAATAATAATCGAAATAATCCATCCATACGTTTTCCTGGATCATTATATTATCCACAAAAATCATCAACATTAGCCATTACGAATCGTTCATCATATGGAACATCTTCGAAAACAATTTTATTGAATGATAAAAAACAACAACAACAATCGAATAATAATAATAAGAAAAAACGTTCAAGTACATTTAATAAAACATTGAAATTATTTCGTCCACCACCTTCACATCCATTATTAGCAAGATCAAATTCAATACCGGTTAAACATAAACAGCATCAACAACAACAACAACAATCTTCATTATTATCAATGAAACAGCAAACAAAATCTAAATCATCTAATTCAGCATCATTACTTAGGCCACCATCACCATTGACCTTATCATTAAATACACAACAACAACAACAACCATTATTATCATCATCACCAAATATATCAAGATCACCATCACCATCAAAATTTTCATTCAATTCACCTGATTTTTATTGCCATTATTGTGGTGCTGGATCATCACCACCAACACCTACAATGTTTCAACAACAACAACAACAACAAAATAATTTTAATGATGATAATAATCTATTACAAACATCATCATCACCTCCAACATCAAGAAGTCCACATCGTAAATTATTTAATCGTTCAATGTCTACCGATTGTCCTTCAACAACAACAAATAATAATAATAATAATTCGACAACTAAACAATCATGGAATCGTCGTTCAATGAGATATTGTCGTTCAAAAAGCAAACATCTTTATCATATGGTTGTTTGTCGTTTTTTGGTTGTAGGTGGATATTCTCAAATATATGATATTTTTTTTAATGTTTGCTTATCGTTAAAAGAGAGGGAGAGATAGAGAGAATGATCGACTTATCATCAAATGTTATCAGTTTGTTGTTGGGTATATTTTATTTTCCTTGTCAAATCAAATAAATGATTTGACTACCCAAAAAAAACTAAAAATCCATCCATCAAAAATACCTGTGTATATTTGTCAAAAAACTATGACAAGTTGGCATTTATGTACAACAATGTTTAATAAGGACCGGTCTTTTTAAAAAAACAAAACAAAACTAATCAATTCTTTTCGGATGTTTACTGTGTGTGTGTCTCTATGATGATGAAAAAATAATAATATTTAGATTTAGTGACAAAAAGAGTGAGTAAGTGAGTGATTTAATTTAATATTTATTTATTACTGTGCGCTATCCGAAGATATTTGCACTATTTAAGTAAAATAAAATAAAGTATAAAATAAATGTAAAGTGTAAAAAGTGTTATGTATTTACATGTGTGTAAGTTGTGTTGTGTATCATGATTTGTTTGAAATACAGTTCTTTGCACATTCTAGTAAATTTTTTATATTTTTGTTTTGATTCTGTGAATTTTGTTGTGGATGTATCATGTGGAAAATATTTTGATGTAATGTTTGTGTTTAAAGGACAAAAGATTGTGTGTAATGATGTTTCTTCTTCTCCACATTGGCAACATGGGTGTGTGTTTATGTTGATTTTGTGTAGATAGTAAGCAAAAGGACCATGGCCTGAGAAGAAGGGTGTAGTGTATCTGTTAGGTGTTACGAATTTTGGGATGTTTGTGTCGAAGAAACTTTTAAATGTCACATTTGAATTAGTCAACAGGTATTTGAATTTTGTATTTATGTGGTGTTCGGTTACATTAGCGATTAGCTCATTTAAGAATTGTCTGTCTTGTATGTTGGTGTCTTTAATCATGTTAAATCGTATCACTTTTGTATGAAGAAAGTCTGTTAATAATGGAATGTTGGCAAGCAAATGTGTTATGTACAATGGTGTGGTGACGTATGCGAATATGCATCTCTTTATTATTTGGTATTGCAGGGAATTTAGACGGTTGGCGTCCTTAGTGGTGATGTGTGGGTACCACACTTCCGCGCCATAGGCCAGAGCCGGTCTGATCATTGATTTTAGTAGGATGATTCTTTTTTGGGCATCGATCCCCCAGGTTTTTCCGCAGTATGTATATATTGCATTTTTTAGTCTGTTTCCTTTGGCGATGATGTAGTTGACGTGACCTTTGAAGTCTAGTTTGTTGCGGTGTCGATGATTTCTTATGATGACTCCAAGTATTTTTATCTCTGATGAAGGTTGAATGATGGTGTTGTTGAAATGAATTGGTATTTTTTCGTTGTTGTGAAGATATAAGACGTTGGTTTTTGGCAGACTGATTTGTAGCTTAACTTTTTTGCACCAGTTGTTAGTGAAGTCGAGACATTTGTGAATTTTGTTCCTCAGTTTGACTAGATCATTTTCCCAAATTATGATTGTAATATCGTCGGCAAAGGCTACTGCTTTGGCGTTGTCGATGTTGAAGTTTTTAAGTAAGTCGTCAAGCAGAATGTTCCATAATGTTGGTGAGAAGATACCCCCTTGGGGGCATCCTTTGGAGATGTTTTTTCTGCATTTATTGGTTGAGTGCGAGAATTCCACTATTCTGTTTGATAAATAAGATTGGATTAATTTTAAAATGTCTGATGGGACTTTGTGACGGTCTAATTGTTTAATGATTGCAGGAAACCAGGCGTTATCAAAGGCCCCAGCTATGTCTATTGTTATAATTGCAACTTTG